GCGTGTTTTCCTCGCAGGTGCGATACAGCGATGAAAAAGGAAAAAGACAAAGAAAAATTCGAGATCTTAAACGCTCGCGTTAAATCCCGACGCGCCGACGCTCCCGTCGGAAGTTTGCCACCGAGATGAAGATATCGACACGTTGCGCGTTAACAGAGGCCCAGTAATTGCACCCGATGATGCAACCATAAAAAAACAGAAAAAAACGTTAAAGACGTATTAAACCGACGGATTAATAAATCGTTAAGCGGTGGAAAGCATCGTTGTGACGATGACAGAGACATTGAATAATTTCGATCTGTTAATCGGCGATATTTTTCCCGGCCATTGTGCCGGACGGATTGTTTATTTTCGAACCGCCTCTCTCGGGAAGGAGAGAGCCCCGGCTGTATCTTCGCGCTGATTTCGCTGCGCTAACAGGTTCCACGGTCAGTCGGAGACGGCAAATTAGCCGCTGGACGGAGCGGGGTTGGGAAGAGAGAGAAGGAGCGCGGAGGCAGATGCGGGATTCTTGGCAGGGTCAAACTTCCCGGCCATCCTCTGGTGCCGCTTATACCTCCCGATCTCCTCCACTCCGCTTCTGTTGCCTGCTGCTCCCTATTCTCTTACTCTCGCTCTTTTTTTCTTCCCCTCTCTCCCTTTCGTGGCAAAAAAATCAGCGTATGTGCGCGCGCGCGTGTGTGTGTATGTGTGTGTGTGTGTGTGTGTGTGTGTGTGTGTGTGTGTGTGTGTGTGTGTGTGCGATGTGTGCACACAAAGACCTGTGGAATAAGAGGGCGAGGTGGATCGAGAAGGTTGAAAGGATGGGGTTTATATACGCAGGTCTCGGCAGGTAGGAAAGATACGCGGCAACCGGTTCTCCTCTTTGCGCCTCCGCACAGACTCCAGGGATACAGGTTCCCCGAACCGGTCCAGACAGGATCGCGAGTCGGCGATCGCGTGTTGCTCGCGTGGCCGGACGCGGCCGAGGATCGGCGGAAGCGTCCGAGTTCCAGCATTACACACAAATTGCGCCATTACGTGTAATGGGGCTAGAAAAAAATGGGCGGATAGATCGTGCCGGATGATGGGGCAGGGAACGGCGCGATGGTACACTCGCGGCGGATCTCGGGATAACGAAATCGCGCGCGTCGAATTAGATTTTGCGAGGAACACATTGCGAAAATTTTGAAAACGTTTCTCCGTATGTACGCGCGGAGAAACGTTCTCCGATTCTCCGCGTCCAGAATTGTTCGGAACGAAGAGGACGAGGAGGTTCTCGATCGTTTCTCAGTACGCGATCGAATCCGCTGTCAATCCTTACAGATCTCCTTATTGATTTTAGGCCGCTCGCAAAACACACGCGTTGTGCAACACGCGTGTGTTCCCACACACCTGCCTGCGTGCGCGGAATTTAAAGGAAATTAGCTCGAATACTTTCTCTTTTTCTTCTTTGTCCTTTTCTTTTTAAGTATAATGCGAGATGCGGCAGCATCTCGCCGGTGTATCTCGTCGCCTATCGTCCGCGGCGCCTCACCATAATTTTCTGCAATATAGTGCTATATCCTCTCGCTGATGTATTGTAACCGGTATCCTATCGAATCGAGCAGGTGGCTCGACGAGCTCCCTTATATTTTGACGATTAGTTCTGGACCCAGCTTCTTCTCGAAGGACGAACTCCACTCTACCACAACACCTTTCTCTCAACCAGGGCCGCAGCCTGCTACTTTATCCTTCGCAAATGAGTGTCACGATGTTCTAGAAATACGTTCTATATTCGTGACAATTCTGCGAAATTAATCACAAAAGAATGCTTATTCCTTTTCATTAAATTTTGAAATTTTTTCGATTCCATTCTAATGTTGAAGTTTTCTAAACTCGCATCCCTCTTGCTAATAATATAATTAAATAATAATATAATTGCTAATAATATAATTAAAATATCATATAGCTGAATAATTTTGTATCAATTATCAAGGAAAAATATTAAAATGCTTTATACGAGATAGTTTATTAAAGAAATAATTAAAACATCATATTTTGCAAAGAGATGTTTTGTTAGATATTTAAAACCTGCCAGGTACAGCTCTAAAAATAATTTTGTTGTGCCATCAAAATAATTATGTAGGACGTCTAAGCATAATGATATATTGTAAACATTTTTTTATTTTTCTAGCAACCAAGTTGAATTCCTGTGTAATTATTTTGATAGTCCAAGAAAATTATTTTCATCTATATCTGGTAAAGTTTTTATATATTTTAGAAAAGCTGTTCTTCTTGTATACGAACATTAGCAAAACTGTTTTTTTTTGTGTACGACCTAATCTTCTACTTATTTTACATAAAATTATCGAAATTTAGACACGTTTAAAATGTTGCTATCATATATACCAATATTAATTTAGGGTTCATTTAGGATAAAATCAAGTGAATATTATTTTACGTATACATAGTCTTTAATATGCGATAAAATAATGAAAATGTCACGTAAAACGTGTCATTGCGCAAGCATTAAAGAAGATATACACGCCGTCGTATCTTTAAGACATCACCCCGCGGACCTTCAAAGTACCTCAACTTTATTTTCAATTTTCTTCAAGTTACTATCTTTTCAAATTAAAAGGAATAATTATACTTCCCCCAAAAATGCTGTCGATAGAACTATTATCTCATAAATAAGTTCTGCGATTGTTACAAAAAAAAACAATGGGGACATCCTTGATGAGAGGACGCGTTATGGGGACTCGAAGAAATCGAATTAGCTAATGGATAGCGAATAAGAAAATCATCGTGTCTTGTTTGCGGTGAGTCGAGAGAATCATCCTGCGTCTGTTTCTTCGTGGAATTCTCCGCAGCATCGCGTCAGGAGAATCTGCGTCCCTGAGGACTGAGACAGCCGGTCATCCTGGTTGCGGCGCTGGCCGCCGGGTCGGTCGGACCCCGACGTCGACGGCATAGCCTGCGCGTGCACTTGCCGCGAGGGAAAGGTGGATGGCCGCGACCTTGATGCGCGTGGTTCTCGCGTGCCCGAACCTTCACGAGCCACCGCGAGGACGGCCGAGGCTGGGCACGACCGGCCGACCACGACCAACGCCTGGCATACGGTTGTTAAATTATCTCTCCGCGGCTCTCTCCCTCTCTCTCTCTTTCTCCTTGCCCTGTTCTTCGGACTGTTCCTTTAGCTGTCCCGTCCTCTCGGCTTCCTATCCCCTTCTCTACGCGTCGCGCGCCTCATCTCCTTTTTCTTGGCTCTTCACGCACTCGCGCGCGCGCACATACACGCCTGTCTCTCTTCGTGCATGAGATCTCACGGAAGCTGGAATGACTATCGCTACACTCGGGCTCTCGAGCTCCGGCTAGTTCTACGATGGGACCGGTATCTCGACTTAACCGACCAGTCATCCGAGGCAGCCAGTGTCTCTCAACGCGTCACCGACACGTCCGAATATTATGAATTATGCAGGGCTTATCACAAAGATCTCCGGGATTTAGCCGAAAATGCGATTGTCTTCAGGTCCCTTAATCGCTGGCACAGTTCACTTGTCGCAATTATGATATTCCTTGTAAAATCAACAGCGAAACTGAACGCTGAACGGTGGATGTTTACATCTTTGAAAGGAATTATAATCTCGAATTTTTGCACTAGAAAATATCTAAATATCTTTCAGTTATCAGATGATTATCTCCCAAAATATATTTAGAAATGAAAACTATTTTAAAAATCGAAAAAACATTTATGATTAAGACTTAAAACTTTATTTTTTTATACGTATATGAAATAATTTCAAAAAATTTTTAGAATAAAATATTATTAATATTATTGATAAAATAATATTAATTTGCGTTTTTTAAAAATAAATTCCACTACAAAATTTATTATTAAAATAGAAGTATAATAGTAATAAATATTTTAATTCAACTTTATTAGATTTCAATACGAAGTTGAATTGTTCTGAAATTCGAATTATAATCCTTCAGTAAAATACTACGGCTTGGCGTTATTCGTGTCTTATTGTCTCTTAATGAAATCTTCCTTTCTGAAAGATAAATGGATCCGGCCAGCGTGACTCGGTTGTATTGCTGGTTGTCAGGTAGCCAGGGATCCGTGGCTTTTTTTTTTTATACTTTATGGCATGGAAACAAAGCCTTTCTGATCACAGGTTTCTATTCGAAATACGGGAAAAAAAATCAAAATAAAATCCGAATAAACGATACTATTACAAAAATCTTCTTGAAAGAAATAAAAATTTAGATGCTTATTTTAAATAATTTTTACGATATTTTTAAAATCGAATACAAAAACACAAAAGATTGAAAAAAAATGATAGAAATAACGTGTATTTTTAGAAGCAACTATTCTGAAGAAGAGTTAGAGCAAAGGACGGTACAAAAACTTGACGTCCTTGAATTGCATCAGGGCACATATGCATTTCTACAGTTGTGACATTTTTTTATATCGGAATTGACATGTTGTTAGATATCCAGAAGCATCATTAAAGCAGTATTGAATGAGACATGTGATTTTATAAATATTGGATAGCTGATGTATAGAAAATAAAATATATTTTTCTAATAATAGATGGCATTACTCGGTAGACAGAATCTTAAGTGTCTAATAATTTTTCTTTTTTGAATTTATATTTATAAATTAGAACAATTGCTTACATTTACGAACTATATATTGTTATTTTCTCATTGAAAAAAGAGGATAATCGATTTTAAATTTATGAATTATTAAAGTGAAAAAATTTAGCTATAACTTTGAGCTGCTATATTATTCCTTAAAAATAACAGTATGTGGATCACTCTATATATAAACAATTGTTTTAAATTTATTTAGAATTAAAAGAAATTACTTAGAATTAAAAAAAATTCGACACTCAAGATCTTTGTCTACCAAGTAATGCCATCTATTATCCTGTTTGAAACTTATCTCGACTTATTACATAGAGTGTTTATATATTTTTCTATTTCAATAATAATTTTTCTTTTTTATTAATATTTTTATTAATATTTTTTTATATTTACAAAATTATTCATTTTATAAAATTCATTTTTATATTACATAGATAAATTAACCATAATTTCTAAGCATAATAATAAATTATTTAACCAACGAGCTACTCGATGATTCAGCAATTAATGTAGAAATTTCCTGGATATAACTCGGCTCGCCTTTAATAAGTTTTTCTTCTTCTATACTTTTTTCCTCACTTTTGAGGTCTGTTACAGATAATATATCTTCTTGAGAGGATGTACCTGACACTTTGAAGAAAGAAAAATTCTTTTTTTATTTTTGATGCATCAAATCAAAATAAATTTGGCGTATTATGAAATAACTTACGGTCGCTCTTAAGATTATCATCTTCTATCTCGCCTTTCTCGTAATTGAAGTTATTGTCTGTATTTTCTTCTTCATGAACAATGTGCAGATATGATAATGTGCATACAAGCATTATGAAAAACAAATTTGTAGCAATGCCAATACAAGCTGACAAAATTGGCCAATAAAACATCCAATAACGTAATCCTGATAAATGAGCATTAATCATAAGATTAGCAGAATAGAATTCTATATGGCGTGACTGAATCTCAATAAAAATAATTGTCACCGGATGACTCTGGAACATATAAAATTGCATTTTAATCATATATCTTTTGTAAAATTATAAACTTATAAATTTTATTAAAAAAGATTAAAAGTCAAATTATTACCTGATCCTCCTCAAAATTACCAAATAGTTCGAGGACAACGTCCTGCTTCTCCTCAACATTTCCAAAAATCATCATAGGCGAAAACATAAGAGTTGTAAGCGTGTGTAATAATGTGCTGCGATAATGTAACATTGCTGATTTACATGTATGGTCCACAAGGAACCCATCACGACTTCGCAAATGAGCGCACACCATGAACATACCTTGAGAAAAAGTTAATTTCCTGTAAAACCTAAAAATTCTAACAGTGATATTACTTGTGATAGGAACCTTACCAAGCTCTTTATTGGCTGGTGATTCCGGCATTTCTAGATGTAAATTTACTTTGTATGGCTGTCCTACCATCAGGAGCTGATTCTTTTTGGTCAACTGTACTTGAGCTTGTGGAAAGCTACAGATTCCTTTCTTCTCGTCACATGATCTAAGTAAACATCAAAAGCAAAGTTTTGCAACTAAATTTTATTCCATTATTTAATTTAATTTAAATGCTGTCTTTAGCCTCAATAAACAAATTAAAATGATTAAATGTTCTTTTTTTGTTCTGCTATTATTTTAATTTTAATTTTTTAATATTGTTATTCTAAAAATTTAGTAGTGAACTTTGCCTTCTTCCTAGACTTTGGCACCTTGCGAAAGTATGACGCATCTAAGCATTATCTCTGTCATTGCTGTACTATTGAATTAAAACATGAAATAATAGAACCATAAGTGGGACTTACTTGAATTGCAAGTGTACGGGACGCACATATGACATGCTGGGCATATAGGAATAGTAAAAGACCGTGTAAAGGAATATGGATAGCCAGATTATGAAGAGGGTACCGATGATAAGAACACCGCTGTGGAAAACCATATCTTTGGCAGACTGTATGCTCCGCCTAGTAGTTTTCCGCATGTCAAACCATCTCTTCGTGATCTGACGTAGTAGCCTCGAGATCAACATCTTGCACACTTATTCCCAAAAACCGCAAGGTGAGTCTGGAAGATGTCTGTGGAGGGTGTCCTCGGTATCAGTGTATTTGATAAACAGTGTTACATAACGACGAATTGAACACCTATCGATTTCCTAAATTCATTTTTTCATCTCGAGATCACTTTGACGCGCGCTTCAACCGACTAGAATCGAGAATTTGTCAGGTCACGACTTCGCAAGGAAGGAGACCGAGGAGAACGAGCGATGTTGACTCATGAATCTGACGTTGTCAGTGAATAAGAGTTCAAGTGCCTTCGAAACACGTCGATATCAACAAAGTGTTTTTGCATCTCCGCAGTGCTCGAAAGGTTATGTGCGAACAAACGTAAACACAATAGGAGGGCATGACTCGCATTTGTATACAGCGTGATTCTGCAGATGTCGAGAATCGCTGTCGAGTTTTCTGATTCTTCCTTTTCGTAAAGGGATGATCCTTGTAGATGGCGTCAAATGCCTTGTATCTCGGCACAGCTGCTCACTCGTACTGATTCAAACGCTGAAAAAGCGAAAAACAAAAATTCGCAAACGTAGCTTAATTGTAATGTTTAGTCTCACCCCCTATATTGTTTTCCCTAATAATGTGTGAGTTTAAATTTTCGCAATTCACAAATGTTCACGCGTAAAATTCTGGAATTTTTATAATCACAAATTTTTTTTAATCGACATCGCTTCTTTCATCTGATTATATTTTCTTTCGTCGATTTTTCAAAATTTAAATTTTCTTAAAAGATTTAACATCGAGATAAACAAAATCATTTCGCTTTATATTTAGTAGATAATGTTATTATCAACTTTATCAACTAAAGGTAATTATCGTTGCTTTTTTTAATTTGTATATGTAAGTACAAGAAGTGTATCCTAAGAATATATGCAGAATAATCATAATAATATTCTAAAAACATCCTGAGAATTTACGATCAATAATTATATGTTACTCAGAAAGCATTATGAAATTTTAAAGACATTTAAAAGCCTTATATCTTTTTATAATCTCTATATTTTATACAAAATCTGTCAACTCACACGTTTTAATTTGAAATTCAAATCAAACTTAATATTTTTATTGAAAATTAATATGCCATTTCGCAAATAATTTACATCGTTGATCTTCAATAATCTAAATCTGATAAACTTATTTAGATTTCTTAAGAAACCTTGAAATAAAATTTTTCGTTTTGAAATTAATGTGCGTGTTTAATTCCAGGTAAGAATATATAAAGGAACGTGAAGAAAGGAACGAGAATATATAAAGGAACGTGAAGAAAGGAACGAGAAGAAGGACGAAGAAGGAATATCTGCCTTGGAATTCAAGGACGCAATTTGCAAGAAGCCACGCGTGAGAATTAGAAAGCGATAATGACGCAACGCAACTGTATCTTTATTTAACTGTACATTATGCGGTAAGTGACTTATGCTATTTATTATATCCATTGCGCGGCAAATAGGTAACTCTAGTGCTTAACGCTTAACTTCTTACATCAGCTATCATTGCCGTTATGATGATCCTTTAGATCCTCGGCAGCGTCTGGCGTAATTATTTAACTCGCGGTTTTCGCGTTGTCAGGCAAATAATTGCGAAATAGAGTCTCTTCCTCTCGAAAATAATTCTGCAATTGATCTAGCTTCATGCTGTGCGCTTCTATAAATTGATACAGTTAATATTAACTCCGATATCAATAATTTACAACCAACAAAATTGTTTTAATGGCGAGACAAATTTTTACAAAAAGTGTAATATTTCCCGAATAACACGGAAGTCAAAGAGAATTTATTTGAAATATTGTTTACAGAATTAGAAAAATGAATTTATAAAGTAATATATAGTAATAATAATAATAATAATAATAATAATAATAATAATAATAATAATAATAATACACCTATTTATAAAAATAATTTTATATAAATGCTCGAAGAAATTGCCATAAAATTTTAATCATGATGGATGTAACTTCTTAAGGTATTCTTATATTTTTTTGTGTAGTCTCATTAGAAATCGGAAAAGAAGAATGTTCGAAGAGCGAAGAATAATTTAAAAATTTTCTAGACTATCTGTCTAAAATGTTTCTGCAAATATCATATAAATATTTCTCGGTATTATTTGCAGTTGCACAACATGCACTTACTATGAAGACTCGCGACGCAGTCCAATTCCCCACCAAAATCTTTTGGCAGACATTCGGGCGGTATATGAGGATACACGTCGGAGACATCACCGGTGTAAAGGTGAAGCTACAAAGTGATGAAAGCTAAAGTCAACTTGTAGGCCGTCGGACGTATGAGAAACAGAAATGTCAATGCATCTTTGTAACGTCGATGCACATAAAATGTATATTCATGACACGTACGTAAACGTGTATGTAAATCTAATAACTTTTTGCTTTGTACAATTCCGATTGGTCCGAATTTAAGGCCAACTTACAAAGTTAAATTGGCAGTCGGAAAAAGAAGTATCCGGCGGTCACCCTTCGCGAAAGACATACGATATTTATAATCCGAAGGCGATCCTCTTTGTCAAAATTGCTCGCACTCGAATCGAACGGGAATCGAAAGTCAATTTACCATTTCGTAAAGCTCTCTCTTCATTAACGGTCTGATGAGCGCGAGCACCTTGTCCATAAACCAGACCGCGTTCAGCACGTGGATGCCCTTCAGCCTTACCGGCATGCCTTCTTGGAGGTATTCGAAGAACCTGCGAAGACTGTTTATCGTTAATTTGGTCAAGTGACCGAGTCGTATACCGTCCATGTCGAAGAGGAATATGTATCCTGGCGAACAACCGTCCGTGTAGAGGCTCGCGTCGATTGACATCAGCAACAGCTTAACGCCATCATTGAACACGTACTGGGATGGTCGTGTATCCGCTACTCGATGAAAAAGTATCTTATTACCATTTGGATCTGGTTTGGGAAGCATCACGAACTCTCTGCGGCATACGATTATGTCAAATTAGTTTTTTTTTCATATTTTATTAATGTATGACATAAAAGAGGAAAATAGAATGCGCAAAATCATAATTTATGATTTACAAACAGATCAGACTTATAAACAGACCCTGAACTATTTTGTTTCTATAAGCAGAGGATTATAGAATAGGAGAGAATGTTAGAAACAGGAATAAAATTTATAAAAAAATTTATAAATTTGGATAATACAAAGCATAAATGTTTGTTTTTGCGATTTTACGATTTCTATAGAGTATCCAAGGAAAGGCAACGAAAGAAAAGGATCTTTCTTGATTATATTAGAGCACGCCGGGCGGTGCCAGATGGGATGCGCCGCAGTTGCGCGACGCGGAAAAATTGCAACGATAAAGATACCTAATGCAGTCGCATTAAGCGCAAGAGCACTATTGGCAGACGCACAATTTGTATGCGCAGTGTGGAATAAAGGGCGAGGCAGATTGAAAGAAGGATCGATTGAAATAGGATTCATTTAATGCGCGTCTACGATATACATCATTTAATAACGTATCCCTCGTTCAGTCTCATTAAGAGAGTCACGAATTAGATTTGCGTATAAATGAATATTAATGTTTTTTTTCTATTGATGTGCTAAGCTTGCATAAATAAATATTAAAGATTTTTTTAATTATTGCCATATCTTATATCTGAAAATCGATACACGTGTACATGCGAAAGATAAAACTCGTTTACTTGCAAAACAAAACTTCCCCTCTCAAGTCATTTAGCGCTTAACTGAGGTACGCAAATTAATTGGAAGCTGATAAGTGCATACAAGGCTTTCAATGAATGCCGGAGGTAGTCGAGGCTGATGTCCCGGTCTTTAAAAAATTCCGGAACCGTGGTCCGCATTCTGTAATAAACGTTCATGCATTGTTTCGTGGCATCCATGTCGAAATAACAGCTATGCGCAAATAACGCCAATTGCTCTTCGGGAATTCTGGGAAGACCTCGATCCTTCGCCCATTTTTGTAGGCATTCCAAGAGCTCGTTCGTTATTTCCGGATATTTCTTCCGCGATTCGTCGATCGTGTGGCCGAATTTCATTCTATAAAAAAATCGATAACACATTATAATATAATATGAATAATAAATAATCATAATGATATTAAATATTTTGTCGGAAGGAATGATTTATTAAAAGCGTCTTCTTCTCAACGTAGATCCGAAGGCAAGGCGAAGAAAAGTTCGCGAAATCTGGAGCACAAAATCAAACGGCTGAAATGCGGTCCATAGGTTTCCCGCGTAATGAAACTTTCACCGCAAACGTAAGAACCGTCGCTTACAAATAGGTGGTATGTAATTTCGCTCGAGTGGCGTCACAGTAGTCGCTTTTGTACGCGTCCTTGGCGTACGAATTAGAATTTAAAATTGCTTCTTTATATTTTCATATTTTATAAAAAATAATATTCTTGAAATATTCAACGTACTCTTTAAACAATTCGCATTTGAAGTAATGGCATTCTTGATTAGATATTTTCGAATTACATGAATAGGAATTTTACAGATAAAATTTAAAAAAAGACACAAATATTCAAACTTTTTTACGTCGAGTAAAATAATTTTAATATACTTTTATATTTATATTTATATACATAAATTTAATTCTAATCACAAGAAATGACTTTTTTTAATACCTGAAGGATGTTAAGAAATATCGAAGGTCGTAAAATCAGTTTCTTTCCCACGATTGACTGGTCACAATCTTCTTCTCGTTGCAAACAATCTATTTTTTATCTTTCGAGAAAAAGATCTTTCTTGATAATACGATTTATGCACACTTTTTTATTTTCTAATGTAACATTAGTTTAAATCGCGTTTATATACGTAAAACATTAAAATTTTTACAATAATATACGTATATATATATTGTATTTGTACGAGATAAACACGTTAAACAGAGATAAACACGTTCCCAATGCCGGAGTACAACTTCAGCGATTGAACGCACTGTGCGCGACTGCAGTTCGCGCTTTAACTCGCGACGACGATTTCATCAGTTGGATTTACACTGGCCCGCGCATGGTAAAGAAAAATATCCCCGCTTATATACGTATGTACCAAAACCGGTTGCGTTATTATGTAATAAACAAGTTCATGAGAGGAGCGCTGCTTGCCGAAAGCCAATATGTCAGAATAAATGAAATAATAAAGGTATCTCTTCAATATTGCCAAAGAAAAAAAAAAGCGAGATTTTCACTCATTTTTATTTCTCTGCGAAAAGGAAGGTGACAAGAGAGAAACGCGGTCGAGACGCGTATTAAGAAATTCTTAAATAAGAAATTTAGCTGTATTTCCGGCATATAAATATCTTGAAAAAATAAATATAATTTAATTTACAGATTGTATGTATATGTATATGTGTGCGTAATGCGACTCGTATGCTGCAATCTGCGGCTATTGCGACCGATCATCGAGAAACGTTTCGCAGAGAGTGAAAAATGTGAAAGGGAAAGCGTGTGTCGAGATTAGCGGATATCCTCGAATGTACAAACTTTTCTTCCGCTCAGGTCGCAGGATCAGTATACAAAGCAAAACAATCAGTAAACAAACAGTTTTTTTCGCCATTAACGAATTCTGTGTATTTTTCTGAAACCAGAATTCTTATTCATTTTTTGCAAACTATTTTTATTAGAATTATCATGGAAATGTTGATGACATCGACAAATATAATAAATTTTGAAGAAAAATCCAGTCTTTTCTGTTTACCTTTGGGATATAATATTACGTTTTTAAATGTAAATTATTTGAATAATTGGATATTAACGGATATCAATACGGCTTATTTAATGGCGAAACGCGTGGTCCGATGATCGATTCGAGCATTGAATTATTCAATGAAGGAAATGCAGATATGCATCGTCGAGCAGTGACCGTTAGACATAAGAGAGTTTCGCTGTCTAGAAGTTGCATAATCTTGTAGGACATGCATAAGACTGACTGATTTAATTCTATATCTAGATTTATCATATCGGTAATCATCAATATCATTATATAATTTTGAAAGAGAAATCGAAAGATAATCTTTAGAACTCAGAGAAATGCTTTTTCCTGAATGATATTATAATTTCAAAAGAAAATTCTATTTCTCGGCAGCATTAAATTTTTATTTAAGAAGGAACGGGGGGGGAGGGGGTGGGACGTCTCCATCAGTCTACATTGACCGGATTTTGTACCGTGCATTCGCGGGAAAATGGGTCGTGGGATATCGCAGCATCGGCTTTCATCTCTCACTCCCGATGAACGGCGATCAGGTATCGCAAGACTACCGACGAGAATGAGCACGTAGGGCACGCGGTCGCAAGGGTGGTGAGTAAGGGAGGATCGGCGGAGGGTGTGTTCGCCGGTGCTGCGCTGGCTGGACAGGTACTCGCCGTAGGCGTCGTACGTTCATTGATAAGCGTATAACATCCCGTGCCTTAGACCCGATGACGTCAACGGACGCCTGCGCAGCACCGCGTCGGGTCCTGAATCGCAGTGGCGACCACCAGCGTCGCGACGCCTGTGGCCTCCTATTCGCACACTCAGTGAAACTCTCTTCTCGTATGTTACACGCGAATTTATCTAATCGCAACGTCTGCGATCGAAATCATAACCATTGAGCACGGCCTATTTATCTAAATATATATAATTGTTTTTTTTTATGATGTAATAACGTGACTGAAGGAAATTGCAATTCCAATTAATGGTAATGTGCTCTCAACAATGCCTCAATTGCCTTATTTCTCCGACATTAACTGCGTAACGTAATTAAGATAATAATTATATAAATATTTTTTTTTATGAATTAATTCAAATGTCTAAAGCTATTATATCTAAAGTGGATCATTAAAGTTAAAGGAAGCGTAATGCTTTATGTTTATATTAATTGATATAATTGGCGTTCGCGTCATTGACTTATGGAGTTTTCCATTTGCATGAGGAACATTTGGAATTTCTGAAAGGGCGAAATTGATACGTTCCTGATGATACGGCAAGATCGTTTTAGACCGGAGGGAGGTACTCTCCCGTACGGGGAAATTTTGGACAAGCGTGCGTGCGTGCGCGACGCCGCGTTAAAATTAGACTATTTCTCGCAGATCCCACCCCTCTTCTCGCCGTGTCATTCTACGTCGGCCATTCGTCCACGAGAGAAAAATCGCGCGAGAGGAGAAAGCGCGACGGGTTAGAATGAAACGAATAGAAGGGAGTTGAGAAACAGAGCTAGATAAATGAAATAGATGTAGGCGGTGGAAAGGAAGGGAAAGAAGAGGGAGAGCAGACGGGGATGGAGAGTCGGCGACGGGGGGCAACTAGCAAGGAGAAAGCGAGAGAGGGAAAAACAGAGAGAGAAGAGAGGAGGAGTGACAATGAAAGGGAGAGAGAGTAGAGATATCGTAAGATCACCTCTTGCGTATTGATTGGTCTTTTATGAAAGCTACACCCCCATGTAGCCGCGACGCGAACCATTTCGCCAAGTCAGGGTAGACTTCCAGGGTATCGGCCACCGGGGGTGGTGATGCCGCCATGTTAGGCACGGTCGATCGAACTCCTTTAACGTCGCGCGCGGATCGTCGCGACCGGTCGCCGATGATAATGTCGCGAGCGAGCGAGCGAGCGAGCCGGCACGCGTTTCCGTGATGAGGGTGGTCATTTTCTCATTCCCCCAGGTCGACGAGAGCGGGCGAAAAGTGACGTAAGGGAAGATCGTGCGACGGACTCCGGCGATATAGCGACTCTATATCGGCATCGATCGCCGAGTGACCCATATCTGGCGGTGACGGGAGTCCCTGCCCTCGCCCTTCCAGCCCCTCCGCCGCCTTCCCAGCCACCCCTATGACGCTTCTCGCGTCCTGGCGCGCGCGTCTACCCTCCCCTCAATCACCCCCGTCCGTTTGCCATCTCTTGTACACCGTACGGGGGTGCACCTCCGCCCCACATGGGCCGTTGTACCCCCACCCGTCACCCCCTCCGATAGTGGCGAGCGACCACCACCATCACCCCCTACCCCCGACTCCAGCAGCCCTGCCTGCCTTCCACGGCCGAGCAGATCTTGGGGGTTGTACGGGATGATAGCCGAGTGAAAAAGCTTGGCGAGTACCGAGGAGAGTTCGCTCATCAGCAGCAGCAGCCCTGGCCTGCCACAATCCCTTCGACTCGGTCATCGTAAGTGTCGCGTCGATGAGGAAGTAGAGTGGAAGCTGGTGCGAGTCAAGTGCGAGAGTGAGGATGAGCATGAGAGAGAAAGAGAGAATAGAGAGCGAGAGAACGAGTGACAGAGAGGAGTGCCTGATGAAGAGTACGAATGGGAGCGAAAGAAAGCCCGATTAACCATTCGATACCGGCCTGACGTTCGATGGTCGAGACACCAAGGAGACAACGAGCGAGTGAGTGTCAGGAACGCGAGCGAAACGTCGCAGACGGCACCTCCAGACATATAATTCGCGCGAGACGTGTCCCCGGGAGTGACGTTTCTATCTATTCAACCCGGTCGACTCGTAGGCTCAACGTGTCAAAGCTTACGATGACAGTTCTTCGTGGACGAGTGTCAGTGATGGGGATGAGGGTGGCAGCGACGATGACGGCGGTGGCAGCGGCACCGGGACGACGGACCAGTATGGCGGACGATAATCGTGGAGTGTCGGTGGTATCGCCACCGCCGCCGCCACCACCACCGCCACCGTCGCCGCCGCCGACGCCACCGTCGCCGCCGCTGCCGCCACCGCCACCGCCGCCGCCGCCACCGTCGATGCCGCCGCCATCGCCACCGTCGTCGCCGTCGTCGCTGCCGTCATCGCCGCTACTCGCGACAGTGGTTGCACTACGTGCCCGCCGTGCAGTGGTGTCCAGTGCGCACCGAGTGCACATGTACGCTACGTACCTTTCGCCCTTTAGTGAGATCAATAAGCAGTGCCGTGGCCACGCAAGTCGTGCCCCCCGCCGAGAAAATTGCTCCGAGTCTGATGTTCCCTGTTCCGGTCGCACGCGCCTTTCCCAATTCCTCGCCACCGCCGCTGGTGTCGTCCTGATTGCCGATTTGATTGGCACGAGACTCGATTCCGAGGGGGCACGTCGAGTGTCAAAGTAGCCAAAGTGTTTCCCGGAAGTAGACAGCCTTTCGTATCGTCGTCGTCGAGGAATTGGTTTTCGCTGATCGAAAGTGCAGTGCTTTATCGGAGCCTCTCTTTCTCTCTCCGTCTCTTCTATTTCTCTTTTTTTTTTTTTTCGGAGAACGTTCAAACGGGACTTCTTCGGATCCCTTGACTTCCGGATTCAGCGAGAGTGCCTCTTTTCCATTTATCTCTATGTATCAGTCGCTATCTCATCCACCATCGAGGTGTTTCTCAATATCATCCGATTTGTCGGCTCACGCAGCTCTCCTCGTCCACATCTTGGATCGAATCGCTGTCAGCCAGCACCCGGTAGGACTTCTTGCCATCTCCTTATCGTTGCTTCTTTCTTACTCTGTGCTTCTTCGTTCATCTGTCTTCCTCCGCTCTGTTCGTGCTCCGCACATTTCTTTCTATTCACGTCGCAACGTTTTCAGTCATTTTGTCGCAACAAAATTGCCTTTATCTACTTTCGTTGCTTCGTTACGTTTGATTTGTGTCGTTATCAGACTCGTGAAATTTTATGATATCGATTTCCTACGACGACGTGCTCTTCGAGATGGAAAACTAAACATTTAAAACTTATCAGATATCTTGCCCCGCGAAAGAAATTTTCCTAAAGAAATTTTCCTAACTCGAAATGATCCGAGATCGCCTCCGTATAATTGAGCAAGTTTCACCCTGCAAAAGAGTTGAGTAAGAACTTTTTATACTTTCGAAACGAACTTGTGAGGCCGAGGATTGAATGTTGATTGATGGAATACCCATTTGAATATTAAATATCTTAACATATGTAAATAATCAATCGCAAATTATTTCTCTTTCGAGTCTCTAGCGAAGAATTTAACAAATTAGAAGATAGAAAAATTAAAAAGAATTCATTTCCTGCTAATTTATTTTTATTGAAATTGTGTACACAAATCTATGACTTGGACTTATATCGGAGCGTGCTCTCGACCGTTCAATCAAACGTAAATTCCAATCGATCTACGTTTTTTACAATCGCTTCGAAACCGGGGATATTGGCAGTCAAAGGGTTAACGAGCGAGAAGAATTTTCCGCGCCGCGAAGAACAAAGTAACCACGAAGTAAGAGCGATAAGATGTATTTACCTAAGCTGCGAGAGGTGAACCGCGTGCAGAATAAAATCGATAATTCGGCACTAATATAGGAGTCTGGCGTTAACTCGCGATGCGTGGATAGAGAGGAGGTTTTTTCTATCGGGA